TTGTTATTGTTATTGTTGTTATTATTATTATTATTATTATTATTATTATGGAATCGAATAATTGTTAATTCATTAATTACGGATAATTAATTAAAATAATGTATAAATATATAAGTACTTGATATGTATGTATCATTAAATATTCGATCGAAAGGATATTTCGAATATGTATCGTGGAGGTATTTAAATTAAATTCTACTAATGTAGATAACAAAAAGTTAAGAAGGTTAGAGACAATTGATATGAAAAAAAAAAAAAAAAAAAATTAAAACCATATTTTAGACGGCATAAAATTTATATTGAATTTATATTGAAACAGTGTATTGGAAACAATTAGCGAAATACAATAATTAGTGGAAGGAAATGACATGAAAATGTTAATAAGCCTACGACATACGTATAATTTCTGATAAATAATAAGTGATTTAACTAATGATCTCCTAGGGAATTCTGGGCTCGGGATTTGCCCTGAAAGTCCAGCAACAACAGCGTCAGAAGCATATGATACGCCGAAGACAGCCGGCCGCCAGTTTAATTCAGGCCCTTTGGAGATGCTACGCAGCTGACGAGCATAGTATGAGCATCGCCACCTGGAAAATCCATCAAATTCCATTGCCGAGTCCGCCCAGGTATGATCAGTTAATTGAAGCTCCCTCACACTGTACATAATTTTCATGTGCGCTCAATACAGTATGGATTGGCGCATAATTTTGGCTGGAATATCATTTGTTGGAATAATATTGCTTTGCAGTATGTAATTGCCAATACATTATCCATTGTATATAATTCATAATGAAGGTAAATATTTATTGTAATTTCCATTCAATATTATTATGTCACCATGTAGAGTCTTGAAACTGCATTGGTAGGAATTATTATGCCAATAAATTGTCATTAGTAAATTCTTACGCGGTGAAACATTCGTTGCATTGACAGTGACTCCAAGCTATCCTGAACAATATCATTACATTTAATTAAACATTGCTTCGTTTATTTGTTTTTTCATCTATAATAAAATTGCAATGCATATGTAATAAGGCACGGGTGAAACAATGATTATTAAAGGGAGATATTTTTTTCAATATTTTAGTAGTCGACCCTCCTCTAGCTTTAAGCACAATGCGTCATTTGTCAGCCGACTGCCAACAATTCGGCGACATAAGAGTACATCTCTGCATAGTCCCAGCCTTCACAAACTTGTTCATCAGGGCTACCAAAGTCAGCGCGGAAACGTAACCCGAGGCTTTGGAGATCTCATTTCTTCGGCAGAGAATTTGGGTAAGTTTTACATGTCTAATTTTAGCCTACATTTTTGGCGATAAATTTTCATTTTAAGATTTCGAAATTCCATTGTGTAATATTACATTTTTTATTTTCACAATTATTTAGAAAATTCACGGTTATAATATTAAGTGATGCTACCATATAATTATATGTAGATATACGATATATGCAAATATCCTTAAACAAAAGGAATTTCTAATTGATAATAATCAGTAATTTATGATTGCGAAGTAACTGCCTGTCTGTTACGAGTCAAACTACTTTATCCGTTCATTGTCGAAAATTACGAAAATATGAATTTTGTTAAAAAAAAAAAAAAATTGAGCGTATTATTCGTGTAAGGAAGAAAAAATTTTACTATAAAATAGCGACAATGATTAATGAAATTCATAAACGAAACCACTAATTTACAAATACCAGTACGAGTCATAAAGACGAGAATAATTATGCATTTGCAATCACACATATTAACTGAAATTCCAGGTGGCCAGATGACCAGCAATAATAATAATGGGAACAATAACAACAGCAACGAATCAAGTGCCGTTGGTGGTATGGGCGGTGGTGTGGGTATTACTAGTAGACAGTTAAATGCCAGTTACTCAGAGGACTCAGTAACGGAAACTGCGATGTCGAAGAGAAATTCCGATGGTAAGTAAACTATTTTATTTTACTCGTCACCTCTTGACTGACTGGCTCAGGCACTGAAATGAAAACCTTATGTAACTGTCTGGTCTGACCAAATCCGATCGGACTCTACTTGTTGGATTAAAACGAAAAGTTAAAAATATTTCTTTCATACCCTTCTTTTATACCCAAACATACATATATATACATATATACATATATACATATACACAGTCTGACTGTCCGTCTCTCTCTCTCTCTCTCTCTCTCTCTCTCTCTCTCTCTCTCTCTCAATCTTATACACACACACGCACAATGCGCGCACACACTTTCTATCATTATAAGATTCATTCTTATCACTTTTTACAATTTTTCAATGTATATATATATATATATATATATATATATATATTATGTAATTTTCGTCTAATGTTTAAATTTTATTATAAAGTTTTATTACGTAATAAAGTTAGATTAAATTAATTTTTATATTTTTATTTAAAAGCTTGGCAGTATTGAAATTAACGATCAAATTAATAATGGAAAGTATAAAATATAATTAAACTGAGAACCTCTTTTAACATTTATAATTATAGTTTAAATAATTTTTTATTTCATGAAATATAATTAATAAATAATAATTGTATACATTATTTATTACAAGTTTATACTTAATATATCTGTGTACATATACAAAATAAAATTATCATCATTGTTTGTTTACGTAAAAATTATTTGTAATTTCTTTCTGAAACTGAAATGAATTTTGCTAACCGATTATTCTTTTCATTACCTCCAATGTATATTTATGCGCGTGCGTACGCAAACACACACACACGCGCGAGCGCGCGCACAAACACAAAATATCTATGTATGTATGTAATTAGTTTGAAACCTTTTATTTATAGATATTTTTAAATTGATTTGTATATCTAGAAAAATGTTGTATTTATCAAAGAAATAAGCGTTCATGAACAATAATGATTCGAATAGTTTCTGAGAGTAGACACAAAGTAGAAATATTAGAGATAGAAAAATGTAGGCAAAATTAGAAGATGGAGGAATGATTAAACAAAATCGATGGAAAAGATATTTATTTCTAATTGTCAATTAATGAATGTGAAATCAATTATGTTGAAATAATGATTAATTTATAATTGTTTAACAGTAATGGATTATTAATAACTGATGTAAATAAACGACCAGTAGAATTGATAGTTCCAATTAAAATTAGCATTTTAAAGTTCTGCGCATTTAGAAAACGGATGAAAGATACACAAATGTTTATAAATAATAAAAATGTAAATACAGTTTTGGAAATTGCGTTGTAATTTTACCGATACAACGCGAAAATAAAAAAATTTATCAAATCTATTATGATATGATGATAGTGATAGAAATACCAACAATCATATTATCTAAATAAAAAGAATAAAATAAAAGGAAGAAACAATAACGTTTATTGTTTTACTTTTTGTACTGAAAAGTACTCTCGATTTAGCTTGTAAGCATGCTTCCTTACAATACAATCGGTCGCGTTGCAAAATATTGTCTCTCGGGTGTTTGCCACGTGAGTGAGGATAAGGAGAAAGGAACAGGATGACTGAGTGAGAAATTTTTCTCGTGTCCTGCTGGAAGTAGCAGTGAAGTATAGGATCGGCCGATCGTCGTCGACCCTCGAGCTGCGAGAGCTGCGGATCGACGGGCTAATCGGGCGGCTCGGCGAGACCTCGTCGACCTTGCCGCTCGCTCTCGCGGGCCTCGTCTCCCCGCTACCCCCACTGCCGGAGCTTCATGGATCGCCGACCTCCCCGAACGCGTCTCCGACCTCCGAGAAGAGTACGAACTATTAGCGAGCACGCTTTGCTAATCTCTTTATCTTTCTCTGGCCGTAGCTCAGACTTTCTCTCTCGCTCTCTCTCTCTCTCTCTCTCTCTCTCTCTCTCTCTATCTATCTATCTATCTATCTATCTATCTATCTATCTCTATCTATCTATCTCTCTATCTTTTACTCTATCTATCTATCCATCTGTACCCTGTTCTCCCAATCATTCTACATTTACTTCGCCATCTGTCGGCATAAAACATATTTAATGCAACTCTGCCATCGAGATTATTATTTGACTTTCAAGTTCTATTTGAGTCGATTTTACATATATAAAGTTTTCTAACTGCTATGTAAAATAAATCATTCTCTATACGTCATTAAATTTCTACAAATAATTCTATAATTATTTTTATAGTGAATCCTAATGTAATATTTTATTTTAAACTAACTGGAGATCAGATTGTGTTATAAAAGCTTGAAAATAAACATTATTTCATTCAAATGTCAGCTTTTTTCAAATCGAAATTATATTGTTAATATTTATTATTTGAGCTAATTTAAGGTGGAAATATTATTTCTAAATCCATGCGTTCAAGACCTGTTTTTCATAATATTTCAACAAGCTAAATTCAAAGATGGTACATTGCAAATACAATCTCACTTCTTTTATGAATTGGTCATGCATCTTTTACCTTTGCGTGAAATATTCCTTTTTGCTTATGCAGAAACAGTACAATTTATTTCAGAAATTTATATATTAAATAACTCAATATTAAGCACGTCTATTTATATCCCTTTACGAGTAACCGTTTTTTAATTAATGGATTCAGCTTATTAATCTCACTCAATATATAGATTAGTATTTTACTTTAAATAAAGCTTAAGTTTTAACAAATAGCGCCACCGTCGTTAAATATCATCGCATCATATTTCAACTACAAAAAGTAGCTTAGAATCTTGTTCAAAACTACCCAATCTTTATATTTTCAGAAACTACTTATTACGTTGTAGTTTACCTACAAATATTATTCTTAAATATATCTTTTGCAGCGTATTTTGTATGTAGTAATGTAAGACTAATTTCATTTATATTTATGTGACATCATTGATTGTATGTTTGCACAATTACGTTACTGTAGAATTTATAAATAATAGCACATCAAATAGATATATATAAGAAACGTTCCTCTTATTTCAAGAAATCATAAAAAATACTCTTATACGAAGAAATAAAACAATTAGAATTTCATTTTTGTTCAAAATTCAATAATAGCAGATAATAAATTATTAATATTGAATAAAGCAAGGCTCTTTAACTATCGCGTTAAGGATTTAAAAAATTGAATTGAATATACTTTTATTTGCCTTTAACCATGAATTTATCACTACTGATGAACCATTAATAATTTTCATGCCAACTAAATATCATTTTTAATTAATGTACATTTATCTTATATTTCGCTGTCAATTTTCAAAATCCAATCAATTATCGCTGCATTTATAGCAATTTTGATGAGTTTCTCGAGACAAAATAACTGAAACCTACCGGCGCGTCTTCTTGAAAAAGCTGTCGTCATTGAATTTGCAATTGTGGAGTGAGAAAGCGAAGGTGGGTGTGGCATAATACCAGGATACACTCGCTAACCCAATATGAAAATGCAAATACCGGGACTGCATTTGCAAGAAGCTGAAGTTCTATATATTATGTCGCACAAACTCCTTCAGCGGAAACTCCAATAATGCTTATAACTACTCTATATGATTGTTTTTTAACTTCTATTTCAAATAGATCTAGACGTACGTACGAATTCTTATTGTACCGATAGGTTTAAAGTAATTGCCATCAATAATTGCTCTGGAGCAATGAAAATGTAAGCTAAATTAATCTGAATATTATGCGAATGGATATATTGTTGAGGGCTTTAGATATGACAGAAATATCATTAAACAAATTGGATGTATTAGTGAATGAATATTATTCAAATCTAATTAATAATAAAATTAATCAAATAAAATAATCGGGCAAAATTAGAAACTCTTTCATTTTAATTTGAGTTCATTTTGTCTCATTATTTGAATTTTCAATTATATTAATCTAATAATTGAGTATATACATAATGTTTCTATTATTTATTTAATTATTTGCTTATGCTGAATTATTTTATGTTAAATTTAACTTGCTTAGCTAATGAAATAGCAAAAGTATATTCAATGTTATATGTTTCATAAACATAAAAAATAAAGTTTTTAATAATACAATTGTAATAATGCACTTGTTATACTACACTGAACTTCACGAATTTTATGTAGAATAAAGAAAATAGATAAAGCATGTGGATTAGAAAATTGATAATAATATTAATTGTTGGGACAATTAGTGGACTAAAAAAAGTTCTTTAAATTTTTATTTAAAAAATTTAAATCGAAGCAATAAAAATTGAAATCCCTTCGATTTTCAAACGTTTTTAATATTAAAAGAAAATTATTGTCTTGCTAATAAAAGGTACAAAAGTATTTTATCAGAATTTAAATTAGCTAATATTTTTATACAGAAATTTATTTGCAAAAATAATTGCATCGATATAAATGAGGTACATGTTAATACGAAAATCTCAAAAGGTTAAATATATTGTTCTAGTAGCAATTCTAGTAGCAAATACATTGATAATTATGTTAATGATAAGAAGTCCTCTATAAAACTTACGTAATATAAACTAAATTAAACTACTAAACGTCAGGTATTTTCTAAAAAAATTCATTGAAGGTCTGCTTAAGTAATTTATTTGCTATTAGAAATTTTATATTGATTGTTTTTTTTTTTTAGCAAATACTTCGTTTCATTTAAGAACTGTTTTAAGATTTTTATTGTAATAGATAAACTTGGCTTTTTCCTTGAATATTGTTTTATTTATTAATCATATATAATAAAAATTGTGTAACATTATCAAAATAATATATTCGTAAATTTAGAAATAAAATAATAAGTACGATAAATAAATATAATCGACACTTTATATTATTAATTAAATTAGCTCGAGAGTTAGATATTTATACCGATTGCAATTGAATTTTTTACATTTGAAAAATTAATAATTAAGTATAATTTAAAAAATTCTAACTAAATTTTGTGCTATATAATTGATAAAATGAATTTTACCCAATATATTTATAAATTTAGTATCTTATATTGCAAAAGTATTTGACATTTAATAATAATATATGCATGATTAATATACAGTAAATTATTTTTTGTATTTTGCATTAATTTTATGTGAACATTAGAAATAAATCACTGTTTTATGAAATACCATCACAGAGTTGTCTTAATATGTCCAATACTTTGTTATTAAATAAGTTCGATAAAAATAGTCACTAAAAGATGATATAATTATATTATTGTTAATACGGTATATATATATAGTACTAAATATTGCAAATTTTTTCTATACATTACAACAGTATTTTATGTTCTATATCAATATATTTATTCGCAGATAAATTATTATTATTATGGGTATTAATTTAAAAATATTTGAACGGTAAATAAGTTTAGAAAAATATGTTATTGTCAAATTGAAGGCATAGATTCAATAATTATAAGTTTAGAGCTAATAATTAGTTTAGTAATGCTTATAATTAAAAATTTTTAAAAAATACTGTCGAACGAACAATATCGTTCTTATAAATATGCATACAATGAAATAGCTTGGTCGTTTCCTAAATTATAGCACACACGAACTAAGTAATAATCACATTTATATGAATAATTGTAAAAAATCATATTTAAATGATATAGGCGAATGTGAATTTTTTTTTTTTTTCAATTACGAGCTTAGAGCTTATAACAATAATGCATCTTGTACGTTTCACTTACTTGAATTACATAATTAGTTAGCTTGTTTATAACGAACAGAGAAGTACATTTCTCGATCTATTAGAAATTGTTATACTTTAGGTATAAAATAATAACAACTGCGTGATATTAGATTATATAATTTGCAAAAAAAAAAAAAAATTAACACGATGATGTTGTAATTACGCTCGGTGCATCATTGATACTATGAACATTTTATAAAAACCTATTAGTGAAAGTATTGCACGGGAATCCGTAGTAGTAAACTGTTTCAGAAGATCAAAATGAAAGTGTTCGAATAATGATTTTTGACATTTTTAATAGATGAGGATGAGGAGCCTCGATGTATCCAATTGACCAATCAACATAAGGGCGCGATAAGGGCGATTCGTAAGGTGAGTATCTATTTGCATTCAGCTTTAGAATAATCACTTTTTACTTTTTTCTATCATATTCCACTGGTATTGATATTATACAATTAAATATATTGTAAGGAAAAAACATCGATTACATTTGCTCCGATAATACAATTTTGTATGCGAATCTTCATAAATCCCAGCATTAATTTATAATTACATATAATATAAATTTATTTTGTTTATATAATTGATTAAATCATTACTCATATCAATATTATGTTAATTATAATATTCAGAAATAGATTATTATAAATATATTAATATTATAAATATATTATATATCCGATAAATATTTAACTCCTCGTATTATATTATTTTGACGTCGCAATTTATAATTTCTTTATCATCTAAATGATTGTATTATGCATAACCGTATAAATCGATGATTTTCTTCTTGATATAATATAATCGCTTTCAAATTTCTTATATTTTTAGTTCATTATTGAGAACATTCTCTAGTCATTTGATAATACGAACAGTGAATATTACCGTAAAATAACAAATAAATAAAACTATCATTTTACCCACGCACTTGGATATTCAATAATTATATTATAATGGTAATATTGTCTGTCAATTCAAAGTACAAATTATCAGAAGTCTAGAGAATTTTCGAATCTCGATGAATTTACCAAAAGCACGTTCGATAAAGAATTATCTGATTCAGACACGGAAGAATAGGCATCCAGTCACACAACAATAGTTAAATGAAATTCGTTAATACGTTGTTTGTTAAATGATAAATTTTCGTCTAAAATTAACAAAAAAAAAAAAAAAAAAAAAAAAAAAAAAAAAAAAAAAAAATAAAAATAAATAAATTCACCATAGATTTCAAGAAAGATATTTCTTATAAGTAATAATAATTACAATGAAAGAACAACATAGCAATAACGCATTTTGTTCTTAATTCATCGCTATAATATATTTTTTATTATTTTACTTGTTAATTATTACACAAATGTGTAAAAACTAATTTCTTTTATAAAATTCATTTATTGTATAAAAATGTGTTATTGATGTATATTTATTTGTATATGTATATTTATTAGAATATTTATTGTTGACAAATAACGTGAGCAAAACTAAATACGAACGATAAATAATCACGTACATATTTCAGGAATAAATTTAACATTAAATAACATTCATTTATATATTCGGTATAAGCACAACATTCTTAATTATTGCATTAAAATTTTTATATAAAAATGAGGTAATAGGGATAACCAATTATAAATAGAAACTGAATATAAAATTTAATCCTTTATCAATATAAATATAATAAATAATTTAATGCGATTTCCGACAAAGATTGTTTTATATTTAATATAAAATATTCAGTAATTAAATTTTCACAACCACTTTCTATATTCAAGTGTTTGAAAATTGAGCATATAGAAACTTTGCGAATTATAATAATAATAATAATAATAATAATAATAATAATAATAATGATAATAATAATAATAATAATAATAATAATAATAATAACAATAATAATAATTTGCATTTAATATATAGTTCTGCATAATAAATAATATTTGTTATCGTCACATACACAAGACATAAGAAAATATTATTCTATTGTTCATAAGCAATTCAATGAATTTTAACCAAAGTCTAGTAAATCTAATACAAAGAGCATGAGTTAGTGATTATTTATCGGCTTGGTTAAAAAATCTCTATATACCGTCACACACACACACACACACACACACACACACACACATCTAGTTTTGGGTCTCACTCAATACAAGAGCATCCCTTGGTTTAACCGAGTGAAATTGTCCGTACTTATGCTAGATGAAGTACTTCGTGGCGAGACGGAAATTCAAAGAGGCACTGAAGCCCTATGACGTTAAGGACGTGATCGAGCAATACAGCGCCGGCCATGTCGACCTACTCGGTCGCGTGAAAAATATTCAAACTAGGTATCCCCTCGTTCGCTCTCTCTCTCTCTCTCTCTCACTCTCTCTCTCTCTCTCTCTCTCTCTCTCTCTCTCTCTCTGACTTTAATTCTGTTACTCTTAACAATGCTCTTCATCTACTATTGCTCTTTATATCAGATCTCATTCCCTGTCACAATTTTCCGACACCCTTCACACTTTCATCTCTATAAGTTTAGTATTACTTCTCTATTCCAGCGAACTTGATAAAGAGAGACCCTGAGAATTATTGCATCAGCACGTTCATGATAAAGATCTATATCATTTACCTCTCCTTTCTTCCCTACCTCGTTCTCTGTCTGTCTCTACCCCCCTGTAACCCCCGCCCCCTCTCACATTCTCACACTCTCACTCTCTCTCACTCTCTCTCTCTCTCTCTCTCTCTCTCTCTCTCTCTCTCTCTCTCTCTCTCTCTCTCTCTCTACCTTTTTCTCTGGCTCTATTACTCTCTCCTTATCTCTCTTAGATGTGTTACATCTTCTGCATGGTTTTACGTTCGCAAATTCTATCACGAATTCCTCTATGGTATGTGACATATAAATAAATATGTGCATACCAATCGTGATTTATTTGTTAATGAAATATTGAAAATTCTCGACTACTTATAGTATTATATAAATGCTTTATCTAGATTATCACAGTACAAAAGTGATCGATCTTTTTCATAATGCTAATTTATGGTTTCTTGTGAATCAGATTTATATATTATTCATTGAAAAGATTCGTGAAAAACAAAACATTTTTATAAGAAAAATTTATAATTTAGTAATATTGTAATATTTATATATATATATATATATATATATATATATTTATATATATTTTATATATATATATATATATATATAAATAAATAAATAAATAAACAATATGTATATATACATAGTAATATAAATGATACTATATTTATTACTGTATAAATACATATTTGTATTGTATTATTTAGTATTTTATTATTATTATGAACTATTACTTATTCTAATAGTCATGATAAAGATGAATTTTTTTTATATATATAGATAAGCTAATATATTTGTTTTTCTAATTAAGAAAAATAACACTATACACATTGTTATTACAATTATAGATTACTTATCCTTTGTAATAACTTAATATGAGAATGTGCATATATTGAATGTTAGACAATGTAGTAATAGGAAAATTCAAATCCTATCAGTAGATTACCTAGATTTCATAGATAACGTAGAATTATATTTAATCTAAATAATCATGTTGAGAAATGAAAAGCATATTAATTGTTTTAAAACGCAGTTATTTACAAAACATTGCATCGATAAGATAAAACATAAAAGCGCATTGTACGTAATATTCACAAACATCTCAGCTTTGACTCATTATACAAACTCTTTATTAGAAAATATAAAACTTGACACGGAAATATGCCTTTTGTCTCTTTGAAGCGCCAATACATTTTTTAGTATCAAAACCTAATTGTATACGATATATATTTTATTTTTTATTATTCGTAAATTTCCTCATTTAAACTAGTTTATATTTAGTGCAAATTTTATTATACGACACAACAAACATTTTTTCATAAAATTATAACTTTAAATGTGAATTACAATTGAATTAAAAAATATTAAATTTATCAATTACCAAATAGTACATATTATTATAATTTCTCTATAATCCATTATTTCACAAATCTACATAATTTCAGTTTTTGCCTAATCAATGTATTGTTTATTCTTATTTCTTATTTTCTTTTATAAGTATAAATAAATGTAAATATGTTAACAAATTTTATTCATAGTCCTACAATTATTATTTTTATAGCATATACTATTTACGTCCATTTTTATCTACAATTTATTTCCTATATTAAAATTTTTATATTTCTACATTCTTCTCAATTATCCAAGCCAAATTAATATTTGACTTTCTATCAAATATTTTACGTCAAATTTAAAATTATCTAAATAACAATTATTTGAATATTGGCTAATACTTTTTATAACGATTGCAAATTTGATTGAAAAAAAAGCGTAAAAAATTCCGTAAAATAATATTTATAACTTTATTTTTACTTATTTCATCTTATGATACATATATTAATTACTTTATTAAAAACTGTATTTTTAATTTTAATTTTTAATGCAAATCGTTTTCAAGATATTATTTTGCTGAACTATAATATAATATATATTACTTTTTTCATAAGTATTTCATTAATAAGTAACAATTATTATGGAAATATTAACATTTTGATGTAAATTTGATGTAAATTTGTACTTTATATAAATATGGAGAAAAAAAAAATGAAAATTACATATTATTTTTTATAAATTTTTTATGCATAATTGTAATACTACATTATATACTTAAAATTTCCTGTATTTTTAAAAAATTAGAAGATACAAAAAATTCAATAATTTATATTTTCAAAAACTGTTTCCTATTTGCTATATGATATTTACAGATTTCAACATTTTTAATAAATATCTTAATTGTACAGTAAACTTTCTAACAATTTTGTCTCTCTTTGCATCCGCAAAATTGTCAATTAATACTTTTTTCCTCATTAAAGACTTTGATTGGCATCTCTTTCATCTGACTTGAATATGAATTATGTCCATATGTATTACAGTTGAAGCCTAAAACGCAAAATTAAGAGTATAAATTCTGATTTTATAGTAGATTATGAAAGTACATTGTCAAATCGAATAATTAATTTACTTTTCATTAATTTCAAAAAAGTTTTATGAAAGTGTGCAGACAAATATACTAATGAACTATTACAATTTTTTTTAAAATAAATATTTATCATTTTCAAATTCATTCATTGATATACGAATTAGAGTTACGTTTTTATGTGATTCATAGAAATCAATGTAAATTAAACATAAATCATTTTATAATGAAATTCATAACAACAATACGAATCATAATGTTTCATTATGAAAATAATCAAAATAATTTCAAATTTAATGTATGACTTAAATGGTGAGTGGGTGTATGTGTGTATGTACATGCCTGAGCACGAACGTACATTATACATTTAACAGTTTTAAATTAAAAAATATTGTTTAATAACGTGTAATTTAAACAGAAATTGAAAAAATGTCGAAATATTGTAAAAATTACGTATTTTTTCAATAAGGCCATATTACCTAGAAAATTGAATCAAATATTTACATAATTCATGAACAGGAGTTTATAATTTAAGGTATACAAATGACAAGATTTATAGTAAAGAAAAATTGTTAAATTGAAAATAAGAATAAATCAATAAATTGCAAATGCAAAACACTCGACGGACAATTCATACTTCATTTTCCATTTATTCGTCTATTATTCTCATTCTTCGATCATTACATCAACTAACGTGTCCTCTATTTTAACGATGACTGTTTTCCTCTAATTGCATAACAATGTAACGTGCGTGTTCCTATGCTAATGCGATGTTGCTTGTTAACGATGTCGTGTGTGATAATGGTTTAGGTGATTGTCTTTCTTCTACATTGTCGCAATAGCTATGACAGTAATTCTTGCGAATTCATGTCAATCTAGATTCCATATTTTCGCTTTTCTCCACTTTGTTCATATTAATATATCTTTAGTTTATTAATGAAAGATCCACTATCTCTGTATTATTATATAATCTATATGTGGTATGAGAATTGAAAGAAAAAAAAGAAGAATTGAAATGAAAAACTACATATTTTTACAATGATTAATGTTAAATTACTATTGAATTTTCCGTTCTATTCAAATATTTCTGATTGATAAAATCATGCTACAAAGGGATGTTAAATTTGTTATAATAATGAGTTGATTATTTATTCACAGTTTTGATAAAGAATTTTTATAAATAATGCTATTACGCAATACTGTTTATTTTTTTTTTTTTTTTTTTTTTTTTTTTTTTAATAAATTTTTAATAAATCTAAGAAAAACGACTTTCTTTAAAAAATAATGAAAATAATTTTTCTCATATCATTATACAAAATATTCAAATACAATATATTTATTTTTAAAATAATAAAAACAATCAAAGTTGTAAAGAACAAATGGCTTAATAATATACGATCCAAGTAAAAATGATGTGATTAAAATTTTACATTCTAATAAGATTTTAAAAATAGGATTAACATGTACAAAAGAACATAATCAATATCCCAGTTTATTTATATTTCAATGATCTAAATTTGTTTTTAACATTATAAGCTACTGCTTCTATTAATTCGTCTATATAAAAATTGCAAAATTATGTATATATATATATATATATATATATATATATATACAAACGAAAAGCGGCTATGTATATGACGATCTATGATATACCAGAATTTAAAATATCATTGAATGTAAAATCTTTGATAAAATTTGTCAGTCACTTATCTAACAAGTTTAGAGATTACTTTTATTATAATCCTATTTGAAAAACTTCCACCAAACTGATAATTTATAAAATAGAAAATTATGTTTTTTCGATTTAAAAATTTTTAACCAGAGCTAAATTATTATACGTCTATTTGTTTCGATTGTAATTTAGAAAAAATTATTAAATAGGATAGTATGACCAGATTAATATAAATATAGAGTATAACAATGATATTAATATTCTGATTGAATATCGTGCAATTAAAGTAACGAATACGTAAAAGAAATTTTGTTAATAATTTTAATATAAAAAATATTGACAATGATATTGTCTCGCTCCAAGATATTATTAACATAACAGATATATTAATTTAATTCTACCAATAATCTAGCAAATATGTTTTCACTAAATAAATCAGATAGCTTGGTTGTCCGATTCTCCCTCCTTATCCTAAATAAATATTATAGTACAAGTATCAAGAAAGCCGATCTTCAACGTCATTTGTTGGCTTAGAAATAATACTCCTTCCAACTTTTAATATTCCTCATCTCCAAAGAAGATTTAAAGCCGATAAGTACTGACTTACGTTAATTCGCGTTATAATGTCAGAACTTTAATGTCGCTCATCTTTTGAAGAAATAAACTTTAAGAGATTAAAGACATTAAGTAAAAATATCGGAAAACCAACAATTATAAAGATAAGTTTTATTATAAAGTATATTTTTGGGCTCTGTGAAGTAAGTTTCAGTCTGTAGTAAACTCTCGAAAATTTTCGTGATTGGGTGAACGAACGTCTAGGTAGAAACATTTAAGACACGAGAGTCGAAAACATGAGGAGAAACTCTATTGAATTAATAAAACATATAGTCAATTGTATCTTCCAATCTTATTCAGATAAAATTACATTATTTCTCAAGACTTTGAATTTACATGATAAGAATTGCTATTCGGTTATGCAAGATGTAAGTTAAAAAACAATTGTTAAGTTCTCAATTTTCTTTATAACCCATTATTAATATTTTAAAAACTATTTTTAAATTATCAAATATGAAATTGAATAAGAATATGGGGTTGTTAATAAGGATAGGCTGTTTGCTAAAATTTTTGTACGATTTGTTGAAATTCTTACCGGATAAATTGCTTTATGGCTTTAGATATATATACAGATAATTGAAACATTTTATATGCATATTATGTTAGATTACGTAGCCATTACAATAACATACGTCATTATTATAAGTTTTGATAAATTTTTATAAGCGGCAGATCACCCATTACCGATGGGTAAAATTTTATATCAAGAATTACTTAATTATTTAGCTTATAAAATAAAGTTTGTCAATATAAAGTTCAAATTATTCTCCTTTAAAATATTCTTCTTAAATATTCAAATTATACATTTAATCTTCTAAATTATTAATTTATATTTTAACATGTAAATTATATTATAAAAGATTCTAAATGAAAATTTATTATTTACAATATATTAATATAATTGCAAATTAATAGGACATACTAACCTAGAATAAGAATTTAACGAATCTAGACTGGCAGTGGTTTAAAGTTAAAAGGTTGGCTAAAATCCTCGTCTAAAGTAATATAACGTTTTAAAGAATGTATAAAAATTTCAGTAATTAACCGGTAATGTTAATATCCTTTTCACAAAAAGAATGATAATACGAAAAATAAAAGACTAAGGAACATAAATATTAGCACCCTCTTTAAGCATTACACATAAGCCCAAAGAGATATAAAATGCTTATAAAATAAGGTACATGCAAATAAACATATAAACAAAACAAACAAAACAAACAAAACAAACAAAACAAACAAAACAAACAAAACAAACAAAACAAACAAAACAAACAAAACAAACAAAACAAACAAAACCAAAACAAACAAAACAAACAAAACAAACAAAACAAACAAAACAAACAAAACAAAACAAACAAAAAAACAAAAAATAAACAAATAAAAGCATCAGCGTAAACTGTATGATGATGTGTCTGGAAACCGTGGGGGCGTGATCGCAGCTGAAATACTTCGTGGCCCGCAAGAAGTTCAGGGAAGCCCTGAAACCTTACGACGTCAAGGACGTGATTGAACAATACAGCTCCGGCCACGCCGATCTACTGAATCGCGTACGAAATCTGCACTTCAGGTACACATGCCTAGCAGGTGCAGTCGTGTTGTATAATGACATATACATACACATGTTACTATTTATCGATTTTATGCAAATAAACACGAGTGTTAACAACGAGCTACAAGACGCTCGATTATTTATATCAATGTGTTATTCAGCTTATCATTGTGGATTGGGCAAATAGTATGTTGTGATCGATATATAACTTATTATGCTACTGTAATAAGTATAAAGTTATTAGAATAATTTATTACGATATATTTAGGTATGTGGTTGATTTATGGATGAGCGCACAGATTCATCCAAAACTAAATGTAATCGTCGACTTTTAAATTTATCCTATGAATATGAGAAATATTATAAATGGTAAACCTTATGTTGTACTAACGCTTTGACAAAATTAATTCCATCGTATTATCCTAATGTAAGTCGAATGAAAGCCACGAGAGCTTTTATTTATTACAATGTACAAATTTTAAGACCAATCATTCTCCTAAATTATTATAAAGATTAAAGATGATTTCAAATTAAAAATAATAAAATTAATTATGTGAATTTGCACTTAGTGTGACAAGATATTAAACTACTCTCATTGCGCTATGAGCTGACATGTTACCTTAATTAATATTAGATATAATTTAATGGTAAGCATATTTTTATAAAATATAAATTACAATGATAAAAGATCACATCTTACTATTTTAACTGACCATGCTAATTTTAAACATCCGTAATGTGCTTTTCTATCGAAATATAATATTTAAAAATTGGATGTCCATTACGTAGTTCGTTTAATTGTCGGCAAGCTGCTTTTTATCCACTTTATCGAATAATTTTGCTCTGTATTTATTGCTAGCGCTATCTGAAATTGCGATTGCCTTATTTAAAAGGAACACGTATGCATGAATCGACAAAATCCACTAACTCGAAACTATTCACATTTCTAATATGTCGTTTCATTCGTATTTCTTGCCATATTTATATATTGCTTTTATCGCTCATTTGCTTTGCAAAATAATGAGTATGGATCCGCGGACTTACAGCAAACTTAAACTCAATTAGCAATCCATAAATAATTTCATAAATCCAAAGTAATCCATTAAAATTATTACTATTATATCTATTCAAACTACATTTTTGTAACTTATTTGTAGCTTTTCTTATTTGACCATTATCGTTTTTTGTTTAAATTATTGTACGTGTTGTAATTACACTTTGCTCGTTTATCAACAAATTCTCTCTATTAATAAATATATGTTCGTAGTAAGTATGATATTGTTAATTTGTTTTCTAGACATTGCTATATTCTTTATAGTCTTTTACAGCTTTTGCAAATTAAAATTAATTTTTCAATTAGCGGTTGACTTTTACATTTTAGTAAATAATTAATTAACAATGATATATGCATGATATTCATTTCACATGATTAGTTGCTCTATTTTTTCACTGGTTTAATTTCATAATTATTAGTAAATTATTCATTGATTTAACATTGATTTAACATTGATTTCTTTTATTAAATAGGTTAGATCAAATTTTGGGTAAGCAAGGTTCGAAAGCAAGAGATGTATATGCTTCCAAAATTAGTTTAGCATCGAGAATCGTAAAGGTTGAAAGGCAGGTAAGGCTTTAAAATCAATTTTGTATAATGAGAGTACTCGAATGAAATTAATTCAATAACTTTAAATTAATCAAAAAATATATAAATATAAATTAACAGATAGAGTTTTTTTTTTTTTTTTATATACGACAGATTATAAAATAAATAGAAGGATGGATTTTACAAAGACTAAGAAAACATTTTGAGTTCTAGATTAAATCAATCTTCAATTTCATACATTTACATATATATATGAGTAATATAAAAAATAGAACGAAACATTTAAAAATGAAAATATCTTGATATAAATGAAAGAACTATTAATATTAATTAATTATAAATTAACTATTAAATAAATATTATTAAAAACGTACTCAATGTGTTACGCAATAATTTCTGTACAATTTATATTGATACGTATTTCTTTTTCAATTCATTTTAGTTATTTTACATTTACTAATTTTTATAAACTCAATTCTAAATTACTTCGTACATATATATATATATATATATATATATATATATATATATATATAATGAACAGCTTAATTATAATAAAAAGAATAAATAATAAATAATTTGTTTGTAATAACTATTTAATTAATTAATTAATTAATTATTAAGCAATTAATTGCATTAAATACAGTATACTCGGAAAATCTACTCAGCATATTGATATGACGTATTGATGTAGCCGTTTTGAATAAATAGCTTTGTAGAAAATATAATTTAATAACATTAAAGCATAAAGAGATTAAAAATTATTTATAAAATAATAAGTATTTATTTATAAAGCATATTCTTAATATAGAAGAATATACATATATTTACAGAAAATACATTACACATGAAGCTACACTACAAGATGCAAATGAGCTAAAAAATTGTATTTATTTAGAAAATTTAAAGTTTATGATAATACATTATCAATATGAAACTAACCAAAACTGATGAATAATTATTGTACAATGGGTAACATCAAACTTGCTACAACTGCTATTCAAGTTTTTTAAGTAAATAATAAAGTTCTTTCTAAATAGATTTTTTTATTTCTATTAATGTGACTACTTCCCAATTGAAGAAAAGTAATTCTACGAAATTCTAAGAAAGCATTTAACAAATAACTAATGAAAATTTACATTAAATCACAAAATTATTTTTAATATACACACACACGCACGCACGCACGCACGCACATACAAACACACATGTACTTTAAAAGTAAACTTAATTTATGATTGTACAAGAATCTTTCATCTGCACTCGGTAATCTTTTTTCACTTTTTTACAAAATCACCATACCAAACTACTATTCAGTATTGACTAATCAACGTAGTAAAATGAAATGACTCGAAGTTTATTAATATATTTAAAATCTTTCAGAGCGATGGTTACAACAATTTATAAATATCGATACAGTCATGAAGCATTATGCTCAACAGGTAGATGACATCGAAATGAAGCTCGATCAGCTTATCGAGCTCTACATGGAAGATCGGAAGCGATTATTGGCACTGCCAATATCAGAGACGAAGGGTATCAACTCGGGTAATGGCCGCGGAGGCGGAGGCGGAGGCGGAGGCGGAGGCGGAGGCGGAGGCGGAGGCGGAGGTGAGTGCGGCCCGCCGGAAACGACGCTTTCCGCGGGCATCGTTGTACCTGGTAACTGTGGTTTTGTACTCAAGCCGATCCTCGTGGATAAGCAATTATCGGAGCCAAATTCCCCGACAACAGGCAACTTTCGCGAATCCGAGAAAAGTCATCATCATTATCACCACGTTAAGCATAGGCAGATGCACCGAGGACATTCGGATCTTGGGAGTCGAGTAAAAAAACGAGTTACTTTAAGGTTTGCATTATCATTGTGTGTTTATGGATTTTCATCAGGTGGAAAGAAGAGTTGGAAGGACATTGGTCTATCGATGCCTAGAATATTGAAGACATTTTTTCAAAATATAGAGCTTAAATAGGCAGAGGGTATTGCCTAAATTATGAAAAGTTACATAAACGAATGCAATATTGTTTAAATATATCATTAATCATATTATTTTCAATATTGGCGAATAGTTTTACATTTTATCCAAATAGACGAAGAATCTTTATAAATATATATATATATATATATATATATATATATATATATATATATCGGAATCAACAAATAAATGAAAAAATACTATAAATATTAGATCTTTGAAATAAACATTTTGCATATTACAATTTCTATTCAAATTTTCCAAATACAATGAATAAATAAAATACGTTGATTAAGTATTTAACAAATACAATTATAATTATTTAATATTATAATTATTTAATAATATATTGGATAGTAAAATCGAATAATTAGTTATTACATTAGCTTATGTTTTTAATAATATTTTTAACAAAATACATAGAGATATAAATTTTTACATACACATATATATATATATATATATATATATATATATATATATATATATATATATTATAGTATATTATACTCATTGTTATAAAGTTATATTGCAATATTATTTATAAAGATGTACGTAAGTCTATCTATGTAATATATGTGAGAAATGTAATGATTAAAATTAATTAGATTTTTAATTAATTTATTATATTTATATCTAATTATATTTAACTTCCATGCCATTTATCAATAAATGCTTAATGGAATACTGTCAATGTTTACTGTTACGGTAATGATGGAAATATTCTAGATAAAGTACATTAAATTTAATTAATTCATTAATGCAGATGTTACATTATCATAGAATTCCTTCGTTTAATACAATAATATTTATCTATTTTAACTCTGAGTCGAAATTATAACGAACATTTCTTACCCTTTATATTTTAAGTGAAAGTAAATGTTTTAGCCGCAATTAAGACAATGAATTCGTAAGTTTAATTAATTCTGCATAATTTTATTTTTATTTTCGAATGCGGTTTTATCATTTGAAAGTCATTTTAATCTATAATGTTTTTAGTCTAAAATTTCAATAGATAAAAGTACAATTGCTTAATGTACTTGCGAAAAATTCTATTTACTGCATAAATTTTCAAATTCCTATAATATGTGTATACTTTGAGCTTCAATATGCAATAAACAATGTAGAAAATTAAAAGCCTATTATAACGTGATTTTTCAAAGTAAAATGTTGAAATTGGTGTTTTTCATTACACAGATCTACAATCTTATATTATATCTTCATAAATATAATCCTTAAATTCAAATATTTCGAAAGAATACTTTATATAAATATTAAAATAATTTAATATTGCTCGATGTATTCCAATGCTACTGTCAATCTATCATGTCCTAACGGTCGAAAAATGCCCTATTACATACATAAATGGATATTGGATGTTTAAGGAAATCCAAATTTTTTTGTACCTTCCTCCCTTATTTAGCAGGTATTTACGATTAGAATGCACACCGATGAACGCTCTACAGTCTTATCTTACGAAGCTTGACGTCCGCAGTTCTATACCCTCGCATTTGATGCTTCCTGGGGAGTCGGGAGCCGCTCTTGGGAAGCCACCACGTCTGCCTACATCACCAACTACTAAGACATGTCCGTCGGCGATAACAACCCGTCAGGGTGATGTTGTCATAATGGTGCCTCCTCTATGTAGCTCTGACTCGGAAAACAAACACTCGGAAGACTCCCAAGTTGACGTCTATTCCTCGGGCGTCATGTCCAACCTTGCTACCGCCAAAGAATTACCCCAGAGCTTGAAGGAATCCTCCAGTAAGTGTAATCCAATTAGTTCAAAATATTTTTTATCCCTTCTCCCTCACTCACTCGCTCATCCTCCCTCTCTACCAGACTTTATTATATCATTTTTTACAAATTCAGTATGTGAGCTATTATTTTCTTAGTATATATATAGATATTAATAATTATCAACATAAGAAAAATTTTTTTTTGATTTTTTAGTACATTGAATTTCAAATTACATGTAGCATTTAAATTCGAAATAAATATATACTTTTTACGAAATATAATCTTAAAAAAATAATAAAACTTTTATTTTACCTTAATTTTCATTTTATAGACAAGAGAATTGAGCTGTAACACACACCAATATTTTATTAATGAAACATTCTTTCTACAATAAAAGCGAAATAAAAACGAAATAAATAAAAAAAAATAATAATAAAGTATCGTTATAAAATATTATCTTAAGTAATAATATACTTTTATATCCTTCTCTTCTATCGCTTAACATAATTAATATCGAATGAATTCGTACATCTTTGCTTTTCCTTGAATTGACAGAAATGGATAAATTTTAAGTATCAGCTTGTAAATTACGAACATTCAATTGGAAATTACACATTTATTGAATAATCTTACTAAGTCGATAAATTCTCTATTAATGTATTTATAGAGCGCGTGAAGAATTGAAAAAATTTTTATAATACATTCGGAGATACCGAAGTATCGAAAATCTTTCAACACAATTCGAGAATTAACTTTACTAAAGAAATTTCAGCTGCAACTTTTGTCGAACACGAACTTTTAAACGTATTTATGATTAGTAAATATCTCGTTAATATAGTAGTTGTCAGTTCCGATTTATTTTTGCTTTTAATTACCAAATAATAATACGCAATACGATATGAAATTTTGAATACGATATATTTTGAATTTAAAAATTGTTCAGCTTAAACGCAGAGAAATAAATTTCATTCATTTATTTATTACCTTTGTTTTATATTATTTATTTTTTCTTTCTTTCAATTGCTATTTATTTATTATCATTATATTAGATAGAATTTCTCTCGAGGGTATTAATTTTACACTTCTCTGTGTAATATTTTAATTGACATTTCAGTATAATGAATAATTTAAAAATAAATCTCCTACAATTTCCTCGATAATTTCTAAAATCGTTTTCACAAACACTCCTCTTACATCCTTTATTTTTTTTTTTTTTTTAATGATCGTACTCGCGCTTATCTGCGTGTGCAATATTTTAATATAATATATTTGAAATAACCAAATATTTTTCCCTAAAATTTTAATACATTCTGTAATAGAATTCTGTTATTATTGAAATACAAAATAAAGAAAATACTTATGAAAAAGTATCGTCGATATAATCGAACATACAGCAAGATAAAATGATATTGTGCATATGTGAAATAGGAGGGAGGAGAATGAAGATAAAAAAGCAGACAGTAAAAGGATTTATATAATTATTAGAAAAATCCTTAGTTGAGCGTATATATATATATATATATATATATATATATATATATATATATATATATATACACGCATGCATTCGCACTTTACGAACACGCATGCGTTTTTGCATAGACATACTCGAATTCGACACGTATATCTGTGTCCGTTTTACAGCCTCGCTGAACACTACTCGCTCGTCTACCACATCGTTATAGCGAAACAGATACTTTACAGTAAGTTCACCCCTTCCCCTGTAATGCATTCTGCCACGTATTCAATGCTCTGTATTTGCGCGTAGTTTAGCATTTAGACTGTAGAATTATTCCTTTATCTTATAGTTTACTTCATAAGCTTATCATTTTGCATTGATTAAAGTCTGAGAAAACGCACATTAAGCCGATTATGAATTACAATGGGCATTGCCGCGAGTCTTGATAACCTTTATAATCTTGATATTTACAGAATGTACTGGTACAATGATAAAAGTTATCATCATTTGACAAAATGAGCGTTTTCCTAAGAATAATTAAAGCATCATTATTTACACAAATTGAATAATCAATCGAATATCCTTGTTATTTACACTCAATATTTATTTTTTACGCTTAATTTATATATATATATATATATATATATTTATTTATTTATTTATTTCTTATAGCGATATATTTATACATTACTTAAAATTCTCTGAATTTTGAATTTCATTCGTTTTATATTTCTTGGCTAGTTCAATAAATTTTCCATATTCCATAGTCCATAGGCTCATATATTATTTTTCTTTCTCAAAACATAATTTTGCTAACAATATCCTAATAAAATTTTTTTCATCTTTTTATATAATTTTGAGGTTAAAGAAAAACTTGTGACTTACTTTTTACTGTAATTTAATAAACAAATGAATATTTTTGTTACAAAATGTACATATTCAATACAATATTTTATTACACAACAAATAAACACCAATTTTTCTGACATTATTCATAAAAAAAAAAAAAAAAAACTACTACTCGCCAAATTCAATAGATTTTAATTAAGAAAATGAACATTTAAATTAGAACGTATTAAACGAAAATTAATTCTTTAAATTAATTTTTTTTTAAATAATACATTTGTTAAAAAAAATTATAAATTCACGTAAATAAAATAAGCATAGAGATGGAACGAAAATAAAATACACGAGAATCAAAGTCATAATAATCACTTAAAATTTAAAACATAACAACTTTAATTCAATTTATAAAAATTATAATTACCAGTTATTTAATAAAAATATTATTGTATTTCTGTATTTCATTATTAATTAAAAATAATTCGTATCGAAAAGCATATTCTATTATGTTTATACGTACAATATTGAAAATGTATAACTTTAATATAAATTAATAAAAAAAATTGGCAATTAATAAATTTATAATACTCTCGTTCTTTCATCGCTTTTAATTATTTTTTTTTTCTTCAAATCTATAATTTTACGGAGTCTCTCTTTTGTTGCATTTTGAAACGTAAAATAAATCGTATAGGTGCTATCACTTTATTTGTACAAATTTTGGATAAAATATACTGATAGAAATAGAATTTTGAGGCATAAAATTTAGTAACATACCACTTTTTAATATTAACAATAAATTGATTTTTATTTTATTAAAAGTTTTAATACTATAATATAGATATAAACTTTTATCTTTATGTTGTACTCTTACAAAGAAATTTAATCAATTAATAAGTGTATTCTTTCTATTATTTATGAATGAAGTTTCACTCTTACGCTTATTTATGAAAAAAAATTTCTATTCTCAGAAATTAACTTATGTTAATTTAGCAAATTAGTCATAAAACTCTGTAAAATTGACTAATATTATGATTCTATTTAAGAATTTTTGAATATAATGGAAATATTAATTATGAAACAAATTGCATCACATAATATCAACTAAAAGGTTTAACTTAATTTCGTCTCCTCTTATAGAGAAATAATAATGAATATTCAGAATTTTAATAATTCATTATGAAAAGTTTCTTTACAATTTGACTTACGTTGCATGGATTTTAAGTTTAGTTTTATAATTAAATCTGGAATATTCTAATTTGCATTGAAAAATATATATAAGTCATGGTAAAAGTATATTAAACATGTGTAAAATTATAAAGTTAACTGGACTAAATTTACATTTACTAATTATTGCAAATATCGAAAAAGCATTTGAGTTTTCAAAACTACAGACTATTAGCAAATTTCGATAAATATTTTGATTTCAAAAAGACATTTGTTGAAAACTGATGTATTATTTAACCTAATAAATTAAAATACTAAAATTGATGTAAATAAAAGTTTGTAAGTAAAAAAAATTTTTACTTATAATTTAACATCCCACGGCAATTTATTTAAATAAAAAAAAAAAAAAAAACTTATATAAATATTGTCGAAAGGGCTATATAAAAGCTTATATAATCGTTGATTTGTTCTTTTTTTTTTTATCTACGAATAAATCTATATTTCGAAATAAAAAACTGCTATGATAAACAAAAAGCGATTAAATTTATTCATTTGGTTCCAATTGAATTATCAAATGCTACTTTAATAATTTATTAATCCAATATCACCCAATTCTATGCACTTTGTACAAACATGTCTGTCAAAATAAGCTACTGCATAAGATTATAACAATAATAAACATTGTTAACAGATTCTAGAGGCGAGTTATGATTGAGAGCATGCAGCACATTAATATAAGTGAAGGAATTAATAGAAATATGTCCGATGTTTTCAGATCGTATGGACCGTCACGAGGGGATATACTCGGCAACGAACTCCGAAGAAGAAGATGAGGAAGAAGAAGAAGATGAGGAAGAAGAAGAAGAAGAAGAAGAAGAAGAAGAAGAAGAAGAAGAAGAAGAAGAAGAAGAAGACGACGACGACGACGACGACGACGACGAGAACGGAGAAGAAGAAGAGGATGAAGAAGAGGACGAGGATGATGAGGAAGATGAAGATGAGGATGAGGAAGAACACGAGCCCGAGTACGACGAGGAGGAGGAGGAAACATCGTGTGAAAATACAGCGCTCCTCGGTATGTCAACCTCACGGACCCAAATCATCGTGACGCCGAGTTTGGGTCCCGTGCAAATCACGTGTGATCATTCCTCGCAGGCCCAGGACTTCGAACATACGCACTCTCGTTCCTAACCACAGGCGGATTGCAGAGTCGACTTGTTTCTGCATTGAGACAAGACTTTCTCTGCATGACTACTGCACTTACCTAAATTTTTCTTTTCATCTCTTTCAATCACTTCGTAAATGAAAAATAGAGTCGAGTAAGATATGATAGAACTTAAGGTACAACATTTGCACAAAGCGATTCGCTCGAACTATTAAGTGAATTTCGCCCACGTTATAGAGAATTCCGTGGAAAGTACTTTACTCGACTTAGCTTTTAAGTAGATTGACGAAATTTACGTCCACAGATAAAAGCTTGACAGTTTTTACACCTTCGAGCGATTGACGTAAAAATTTCAATCTAATAAGTAAGTCTTTGTTGTCAATTATGTTGGTATCGCTATCATCATAATCGAACTAATGATAAAGTTGTTTTAAAAATAATTTCGACCCGCTTGTTGGAAATACGCGTGAATTTATTGCCATATAAGAAAGGCTTTTCGATCAATGATTTATAGATAGAACTTGAATTATATTTAATATTAATACAATTGTTCATAAGTTACAAAATTTAATTTTAATATGATAATAAAATCAAACTAGTACTTGTCTCTTAAAAATCAATGAAGTTGACTCGCCGATATCTCACGCAATTTAATTGGCCTGCAAAAAAAAAATATATATATCAATAAATTAATTTAAATTGTTCGTTAATGATGTAATACGTAATTTATAATGTATTGAAACAAAAATTTTCTTGGTAATTTTCAATAAAAAAAAAGAAAAAAAAAATTAAATAAATCTACTATAATTTTAATAAATTTTTCAAATTCTAACATTTTATCAAAAACGATTTTAAAATTTGAAATCTTATTACATTTTGCAATAAGCAAATTACTAATACATAGTACATTTTAACAATTAAATTTTTGGTCATAAACAAATTGAGAACGCTTCTAATGATATGAATTTTATCTATAATTATAATAAGTGTTGAAAGTACACTTTTTATAAAAAAAAAAAAAAAAAAAAATATATATATATATATAGTATTTAATCGAATAATTTGGTAATTTTACTCCAATTTTTCATAAACAGAAGAGCTTGATAGAAGAACATGTAATATTCATTTTTCTTTGTTAAACTCGTATATAAAATATATTACTTGCTCTTATTAAAATTAATATCCAGCATTATACGATTTAAATTTTATTATAATAAAAATTACTTTCCCAATACATATTAGTAAGGAAAAGAGATAAAAAGAAGCAATTTCTGCTTAGAATATTAATAATAAAAGCTGTAAATAATAAAATATTTTTGAATATACATAAATTATTATAAATGAAATAGAATTATTTTCAAAAGCTTCAAGCTTGTGTATTATGAAAAATTCTGTAATATTAATTAATAGAATCGATGTTAATAAGACTTATTTTCAAATTAAATTATACATTTCAGATGCAATAAATTAAGTCAACGGCGACAATTACAGCGGCATTATATAATTAAAAGTAACTATTCAGTAAAAATTTATATATATATGCTAATGTTAATTTAATAAAAATAATAAATAATTTTAAGATTAAAATATTCTATGTGCAAATAATAATTATGAATTTAAAATAATTGCCGACTTGCTCGTCATTTTTTATTATTATTCAATAGTATATACCAGAAAATTTTATTGAAATTATTTCTATCGATAAAATATTTTCATTATATTCGTAATAATTTTCAATGCATAACTTTCAAGGATATAAGTAAAACGTTTTCATATTTTGAAATTATGTTTTCTTCGTTCAGATATTATAACCAAAAATAATTAGTATTTTATGAATTCTTTTATTTAATTAGAATTAAAATGTCTTATCGACAGTTATCAAATTGGATAAGTATAGAGACTATTGATTGAAAACTGTAATATATTATAAAATTTTCAAAATGAAAACAATTCTTATTAAATATGAATTGAAAATATTATTAAAAAGCTTAAATCGTAGTTAAAAATTGGAAGAACATTTATTAAAATCAAGTTTCACCTTGTTAGAGGATAAATAGAGATATAAATAAATTTATCGTTACAATTACGCCAATCTTCAATCTTTCATTTCAAAATTAATTTTGCATGAATTCACAAGATTAATAACTATTTCTATAAATAAAATAATTCTACATATGCATTAAGAGAATTTTAAAAAGTTTTTTATAAACCAGACAAAATGCGAAATTTTGATATACTTTCAATCTCAATAAGCCTCTGACAAATTATGACCTAATATTTCATTTTTACAAAAAGTTTGTACAATACAATTTATTAAATTGACGCAAATATTTTAAACTTAAGATAAGATATAAATTAATAACTAACTACATATATGATATTTCGATTTAAGTAGAAAATAATCAAGAAAATACTTCAATACAGAATATAGCTTTTTATTTATTAATATGTTAAAGTTTATCCCTCTGGCAGGGAATCGCTTAGAATATTATGTTATTTATTTTTATTATATTTGTGCCAAATCAGGCATAAATAATTTAACGTGCGAAAGCTTTACGAGTAAAGTGGTAAAGAAATCATGAAATAATATGCGAAATATGAAAGCGATATTGAAATTGCTGTACATCACAACGATCTCGACTTCACAATTAATATGTATCCAAATAAAAATGATGATGCCATCGACTCGCGTTCAACAATATTTTCCTTATTGTTTATCTTTTAGGATGAAAAATTGCGCACAATGTAGATAATATTTATGAAATAATAAGAAACAATATAAATATACCGTTTTTGTCTAATATTCATAAAAATTGCCATAATTAATAATTAAATTGCATTGTAAGAAAAATAATAAATTTAACTATTAAAAAGTCGAATGCCGTGATTTTGTATATCACCGGTTTTATTAAAAATAAAATTCTTAAATTTCATATATAATTGATAAAATATACAATAAAGGAAAAAGAAAAAATAAACTACTTTAAAAATATCATGAAATTATTGCTTAAAAAAAACTTTTTGTAAATCTTTTATGAAATGTGTTGTAATATTTCTTATTATTTAGTTTTATCATATTGCTCATTATTGTTTTAATTATATTTCTTTACGTATATTCGAGTGTTAATCTTCAAGTGTAATTACCGAATTTTAAAGCATTGCTTTAATATTTTATATTAAATGCATAATCCATATGCATATGGATTATGAGAAATAATTTTTACGTTATTAATTAAATATAATCGGTGGATTAAGATATCTATTAACTAAAATAAAATTTTACAGATTGTGCGTGCAATTTGTAGCGTTTAAGTATAATTTTATAAATAAAATTATCAATTTTAAATATGTAAAGTGAGATTACATAAACTATATTGATAAGCATGTTACGACGAAAAATATTATGAAATATAAAAAAATTTGAAGAAGTTCACAATTCGATGGCGGAAAGGTCATGGCATAAATTGAAATAAATTCCTTTTAAGCAATAAGGTCGTGATATTAACAGGCGCTACGCAATTTATCAAAAAAAAAATAAATAAATAAATAAATAAATACATAAATAAATAAATAAATAAAATTAAAAAAAATAAGCGATAAATACTGTATTACTGTAAAATAGAAATAAGAAGAATTTTTTATGTAAACTATGACAGATACAATTGAGCTTAAGTAGTAGAACCATTGTTATTATGGTTGACTTTAACTGGCTTTCTCTTGCTAGAATATAATCGTAAATAAAAGATAAAATTATGGTTTACAATTATAATAGGTTAATAAGATATAGGCAGCAAGCATAACGAGAATTTTAATTAATTGCTTGCGTCTTTTATTCATTAAAATACGATCGTGTTTATACAATTTTCAACGTTTACTAAACCGAGAACTATAAATTACATTTAATATTATTTCTATAATTTATTTAAACGATAGGATAAAAATAATAAAAGCTACACAATAAAGTATAACTTAGGGCACAATAAATACGCTTATAATATATTTATATTCTTGTGTATGTGTATAGATATATTATACACATTTCATCACGCAAATATATATATATATATATATGTATGTATGTATGTATGTATGTATGTATGTATGTATGTATGTATGTATGTATGTATGTATGTATGTATGTATGTATGTATGTATGTATGTATGTATGTATGTATGTATGTATGTATGTATGTATGTATGTATGTATGTATGTATGTATGTATGTATGTATGTATGTATGTATGTATGTATGTATGTATGTATGTATGTATGTATGTATGTATGTATGTATGTATGTATGTATGTATGTATGTATGTATGTATGTATGTATGTATGTATGTATGTATGTATGTATGTATGTATGTATGTATGTATGTATGTATGTATGTATGTATGTATGTATGTATGTATGTATGTATGTATGTAAGAATGTATGCATGTATGCATGTATGTATGTATATATGTGTTTGTATGCATTTGTGTGCCCCCTCCGCGCGTGTGTGTGTGTGTGTGTGTACCTATGCCTATATATACACATAAATATGAATATGTTGCCGTCATTATATACATACACAATATTAAAATATTTCTCAATTTTACAGTATAAATTTTTTTTTTTTTTTTCAAGTAAAAAATGTAGAAAGTAATAATATAAAATTTCTAAA